GAGCGGGAGGGAGGGCGAGCGGGAGGGAGGATGAGCGGGAGGGAGGGCGAGGGCGAGCGCGAGGGCGAGCGGAGGGCGAGGCAAGTGCGTACCTTGGGAGAGCGGTGAGAGCAGGTGGAGGTGCGCGGAGGCGGCGCCGGCGTGGAAGCCGAGCAGCGAGACGCTCTGAGGGTTGCCGCTGAAGCGCTCGATGTTGCGTCGCACCCAGCGCAGCGCGTCCAGCTGGTCCTTGAGCCCGTAGTTGCCTGGCGATGCCTCGTCGTCCGTCGCCAGGAACCCTGCGCATCAACCACCAACCACCGAGCCCTCTAAGAAACAGCATAATTTCAATTATTTTCTTATATTCGGGAAACCCCTTTTTATTTCCATAGAGAATTATGAAATGAATTAAGAAAAAAAACTCATAAATTAAAATTTTTTTATGATCTCGGAATCGATATAAGTATATACTTTTTTCCTAATATATTTCCCATGTTTCAGATCAAAAACTGCTAATCTGACAGGATTATGTGTGTCACATACCCCCATCTATCTAGATATCCGTCCATACAGACATTCCCATTCTCGTGTACAAAGTTATATCTCCTCGTCACGGACGGACCAATTATAAACGGTTTTAGACCATTGTTAATAGACCTTAATCCTGACTTGTGTTGCGAGTTAGTTCAAAAGAATATTAAACACAGATTTTATAATTGTAAATTCGAGTTCGTATTATTGAGGTATTTTCAATAGTTTCCCATCCTTTCCTTCAGTGTAGGAAAAAATATGGTGGATGAAAGAAATTTATAACCTATTTCGTAAACGAGCAACGCGTGCTTTTAAGCGGATTACTACTGTCAGTGGCGAGTGCTCGCGCAGCTGCTTACCGAAGGGCCCCAGGCGGTAGTTGAAGGTGACGAGCACCATGTGCTCATCCAGCAGGTGCTCGGGGCTGTAGTCGTCGAAGTGGCCGCTGCCGTGGGTGAAGCCTCCGCCGTGAATCAGCACCACGACGTCCCAAATGACCTTCCCCACCACGGAGTCGTTCACCGGCAGCTGCGCACATCACCGCCTTCAGCGCTCAGCCTCACTCGTGGACACGGGTGGGGAAGACATTTGTTTCGCAAAAAACAGGCAAACGTGGTTTTTAAAGCAGTTTGTTTAAATTAGTTTGTGGGTTTAAATACGTTTTTAAAGAAGTGTTCGTTGTCTTTGCATCACATCTCTTAGGCTTTCTTGAGCGTTGAGCGTACCTGGAGTAATCCTTCGTTAAGTTTTCGTCATTTTGTCTCGTCTTTTATGCCTTCGACCAGAGGCTCGGCACCTTTAGTAGCCGGGATTTACAGACCGGAAAACGAAGTTAAGCAATTCAGCTAACGACGACGGCTGTTCAAATCACTTTTAAACTGATTTAAACAAGTTAAAAAATTAAATCTGAGTTTGGGATTTGAATATGTTTCATTGGTTTAAATAAGGTTTTTTGGCCCAGTGTTTACTCTGTACCGTAGGGCATGACTGGTCGAGTGAAGACTGCAGCCACGGTGGGGATACGCATGTGATCGCTATTATGGAATGACATTGTTTCCTTCTTTTGTTTTGTGTTTCTGAGTAATTTGCCTTCTTTAATTTTGGCCCTGATGAAAAATACTGAAGTTCGGGAAATAATACATCAAATATATATGTGAAACTTCTGAAGAAAAATGCCTTATCTACAGCATTTTGAAAGATTATTTCTTTCCTGCATAATAAAAGATAAAGAATTTCCAATGAAACCGCCAAAAAATCATGTTCCTACGTTCTTTCTAAATTAAGCATATGTTCTTTTGTATTGTAAATTAGTAAGTGTTCCATCTTTTTTGGAGGTGTTAATTTTCTCAGTTTTCTATACGTTACCGCTGCTTAATATTCGCACAGCAACTTCAGGGCCCTCCCAATGTTCTTGATGTGCTTGAACCATCAGTCAGTGCATCTTGCATTCCCTCTCCCGTCCAGCCCAATCCAATATAATAATGTGGGTTGGCGTCTCTTGCTACCCTACCCAAGGCCCCCAATGAATTTTTAATTTTAGTTTTACAATTCACTGAAAGGAATACATATAAGTATTAACGCACAACTTACAAGACTTAATGCGGCTTTGGTATCAAGAAGCAAATATGAATTTAAAAAAAATCAAGGTTTAAATTCTGTGGTTTAAACCATTGCTAGAACAATGGTTTAAGTCCTGGTAATTTAAACCATCCAATCATGGTTGTGGTATTTTTAGAAACATTTGAACTCTACGGGGAAGTTGGATTTGGTGTTGCGGAGTTGGCATTCTCTGCAAAGAGTACCAGGGTGCTTTCAGGCCCGATCGAAGACACCGAGTATTGCTTATTCTTAGACTCCCTAGTGACAGAAATTCCCTGCGAGTGGTACTAAGAGCGACCTCAAATAGATGCATTCAATAACAAACGTTTCGCCAACTAGTGGCTACCGACAGTCAGCTATGAGGTTAGTCGAGTGAAAAGATTCATTCTTGAGGAGGGATCAATCCCTACGTAATTGAAGAGCTTGTTTCGGAAGTGACATATATCCATGAAACAAAACGTTTCAGAAAGAGAAGGTATTCTTATTCAGGTTTTTCTTCAACAGAGAATTCAACTGTTTTCGGATCCCATTTAACATAGCAAAAATGCAATTTTAAACACAATATTTGGCAGCATGATTGAAATGCATATGAAGAATAAATAAATTTGTAAATGTTGATAACACAGAAATGGAAAAAGTCGTGTTAGAAATAAGGTATTTTATGTGGTTGCCTGTGGTTGCCTGTGGTTGCCAGTGGTTGCTTGTGGTTGCCTGTGGTTGCGTGTGGTTGCCTGTGGCGGCGTGGGCGGCGTACTCACCCGCGTGGTGTAGACGTTGAGGTAGAGGCAGTCCTCGCGGCCCACGAGCTCCCGCGTGGGGAACTTGAGCTGCGTGCACTCGGAGCGCTCGCGCGTGCCGTCGCGCACGCCCTCCCACGCCTCGGCGCGCTGCGGCGGCTGCACACCAGAGCGCGCGCTCGGTCAACGGTCTCCCTCCGGGGACGGGATTTGGGGCGGACGGATGCTTCTCAAGTAGAAAACCACTCTGACCGACGGCACTTGGGTTTTGGGTTCACGTCGTTTGCTTTAACGTTTCTGTGAGAATGGGTCTTTAACAGGGTGATGCGTATAGTTTTATGCAAGGCAGAGAGACAGAGACAAACAGAGAAGTAGAAAGAGATGCAGATAGAGGCAGACAAGGACCACACCAAAGCCCACGCGCAATCAGCAGCGGCGCAACCAACATTTGCTCACGGGGTGGAATGCGCGCGCGCGAGTGTGTGTGTGTGTGTGTGTGTGTGTGAGAGAGACAGAGAGAGAGAGAGAGAGAGAGAGGGAGAGAAAGAGAGAGGAGAGGAGAGGAGAGGAGAGGGGGCAGACGGGTGTCTCGGATTTCGCTAGGAGCATGCCCCTCCGAACGCTTACAGTGAAAAAAGCGGCATTAAGGTTTTGCGTTTACGTTGTTTGCTTGAACGTTTCTATGAAAATGGGCTTTTTACTGGGTGATGCGAATAGTTTTATGCATGGAAGAAGTAGAGTCAAGCAGAGAAGTAGATAGAGATGCAGATAGAGAGAGGCAGACAAAACCCACACCAAAGCCCACACGCAATCAGCAGCGGCGCAACCAACATTTGCTCTCAGGGTGGAATTTGTGTGTGTGTGTGTGTGTGTGTGGGCGGGGGGAGATGGGAGGAGGGCTGGGGGATGTGGGGCAAACAAAGTTTCCGAGCCTCGCAAGGAGCATGCCCTGCTTGAACGCTTACATTGAATAACAGGTCGCCTACGCAGTTTTGGTTCATGTTTATTTGCTTTGAACGATTTCTATGAAAATGGCTTTTTAGCAGGGTGATTGCGAATAGTTTTATTCAAGCACAAAGACAGAGACAAAAAAGAGAAGAAGAAATATATAAGAGGGTGCGGCAGAAAAAAAAGAGAAATGGAATGCGGGGAACGGCGTGACAGTAAGACCCAGAAACATGAGCGAGGAAGGGAGAGAGATATAAGAGAAAGAGTGAAGGAGAGAGAAAGAGAGTGAAAAGAGAAGAATTAAGAGAGAGAGAAAGAGAGAGAAAAAGAGAAGAGAAAGAAGATAGAGAAAGGAGAGAGAAAAAGAGAGAAGAAAGAGATAGAGAAAAGAAGAGAGAAAGAGAATAGAGAAGAGAGGAGAAAGAGTTAGAGAAAAAGTTAGAGAAAAGAGAGAAGAAATAAGAGAGAGAAGGGAGAGAAAGTAGAGAAGAGAAAGAGACGAAGAGAAAAAAGAAGAGAAAAGAGAGAGAGAGAAAGAGAGAGAAAGAGGAGAGAGAAAAAGAGAGAGAGAAGGAGAAGAGAGAAAGGGGAGAGAGAAAGAAGAGAGAGAGGAAGTGGCGCAGAAAAAAGAGAGAGGAAGTGCGAGAAAGAGAGAGAAAGAGAAAGAGAAGTTGAGAGAGAACAGAAGAGAGAAAGGTCAGAGAGAGGAAGTGAGAGAGAAAGAAGAGAGAGAAAAGATAGAAAAGAGAGCGATAGAAAGAGAAGAAAGAGAGGTGAGAAATATAGGAGAGAAAGAAATAAAAACTGCTGGAGAAAGAGAGAAAGAAATATAGAGAAAGAGAGAAAGAAATAATCGAGAAAGAGAAGGAAAGGAAATTTAGGGGGGGGGTGAAAGAGAGTAAGGGAGAGAGAGGAAGGAAGAGGGAGGGATTGAAATGTAGAGAAAGAGAAGCAAAAAGTGATATTGCATGACGAAGGAGAGTGAAAGAGAGGCAGAGAAAGTCAGCGTAGAAACGTCCACGGATACAATGGTGCGTTGAACAGGAGCACACCGCCGCAGCCATCCGTTGGCCGCAGACGGCCGACCATTACACTTGAAGCGCAGCTCCCCGAAACGGGCGGCCTTGGCGTAGGGTATGCCTGGTAGGCGTAGATGGTCCGCCCCGTTCGCGAGAACAGCAAAGCACGGAGCCCCGCACCTTGGGCCCTCCGATCTCTCGATGACGGGCGCGTTCGTACGACACGAACGGGCTCATTGCTTCCGGTTTCTCGGTCTTCTCCTTTTGGTCGCCGGAGCTCTGGCTGCTGCTGTTGCAGCGCCACGTAAGCACTTCCTTCTGCATCTGCATCCCCTCACGAACAAAAGAAACTCGCCCGCTCTCTTCTTACCCTTCGCTCACGGCTGGTTAACAGGGCCATCCGTACTTCTCTCTTCGCCCGCTGGCCTGAGCGAGCGGTTTCAATGGACGATTCATTTCTAAATGAAGAAATTCGTGTTAAGCTCATAATCAGTACAGCTAAACATTAATGGAAGTTTTGA